TAGGTGAGACATTTAAGTCGAAAAAACTTTAAAACAACTAGAGAATTGGATGCCAGGCACATGGCGTGAATTTGTTACAACATGATTGCACCGAAATTGCAGTCTTTATAGTGCCTTGAAAAACAAGCATAATCTACATTTCTTGCAAACTTATTGCAATAAAATTGCAACTTTTTAAGCGCCTTCAAATGAACTTATAGGCAACAAGCAAAAATTGCAATCAACTCACAATCCATTGCAATGAAATTGCAATCCATGCTACTTGGGTTGTTGTCTTTCAAATTCGGCCGCCATCTTGGATTTGGGGCACTGTTGTGGATTGGAGGGCTTTTATGACTTCACATTTGAAATCGACGACCAAATTTACATCAGAATTGATACCTCACTTGCCCAATAACGTAAAATTTTTAAAAAAAATGCACCCTTCTGCCTTTCAAATTTAGTCGCCATCTTTGATTTGGGGCTTTTTCGTTGACCGGGGGGCTATTATGACTTCTTATATGAAATTCTGAATCCTAATATGGAATTTTGGACCAAAATTTCATAAGAATTGATATCTCACTTGCCTAATCACGTAAAAATTTACAAAATGCACCCTCCTGCCTTTCAAAGTCAGATATATTGAATTCGGGGCAGTATCTTTGACTGTGGAGGGGGGGGGGTGGCTGTTCTGACTTCATACATTAAATTTACTACCAAAATGACCCAGAAAATGATACCTCACATGCTACTCTTTATTGACCACAAATTTTCTTTAGTTTTTTCCTGCCCCCCCCCCTCCCACAAAAAAATAAGTTTCCCCTGGAACTTCAAATATACACCCCTTTTTCTTTTTCTTCTTTTCCCCCACTCCTTCCACCCTAATTCTGTGTAGTCACAAAGTTTTTGGATTTTGACCTTTTTCATATTCATTTAAAAAAAATTTTGCTTATGTTTGAAATTTCAATTTTGATTTTTTTTTATTATTTATATTTATTTTCATCTTGACTGCCGTTCTCCACTCGCTGGAACCCCCCCCCCCCCCCCNCGATATTACTAAAATTAGAAAGTTGAAATCATACATACATACAAATGTACTCTATGTACTAAAATCCAATGTGGTCAGCAAAGTGGTATGACAGTTCTACCACTTTTCCTACCCCTACAGAATTTTTCAGAAGGGATGAAAAAAAATTTTGAAGCGTTTTTTGTGCTTATCTTTATCATTAAATTTGAACCATAACATTTTTTTTAAAAAAATGAAATTTTTTTTTTTCCGTGCAACAAAGGGTTAAGAGAGAAAACGAACACGCAATTTGACCTGGAACGGAGCGGTGCGGCGGTCGGCATGAAACGCATAGCGCCTTCAAGACTGCATGAATACTTCACGCATTGCGTCAAACATACTGCGGTCAGCAGCAGTCGGCCTGAAACGCATAGCGCCTACAAGACTGCATGAATACTTCACGCATTGCGCCAAATAGTATGGTCAGCAGCGGTCGGCGTGTAACGCATAGCGCCTACAAGACTGCATGAATACTTCACGCATTGCGCCAACACAGTGCGGTCGGGAAGCGGCGGAAGTTAAAATTATTGACCACGTTTATGTTTGTTCTTTCATAATTTTTCCGTTCGTTTTTTATAAATGGAAGGCCCTGTCCAAACTGGGATGGATTTACGGAACTGAACTTTCGTTAGTGCTGACAGGGCTTTCACAAAAAATGTGGCCAACACGAGTAAACGCGTCTCATACACCCCTCCTTCACCGGCACGTTCACTTGATGGTTTTTATAGATCGTATTCGACAGATCACACAGGTGAGATTATATTGATATCGATTGGTTCAATATGTAACCACAGCCTCAAAAGTCAATTTAGAAATCCAAAGTCATTGGCCAAGGTTGGATGACGTCATCGGACAGTTGTTGTGCTTCTCCCGCCATTTCCGGCTGTTAACTGAAAAAAATTCCCGGTGTATTTACTAAGAAAAGGGTAAAATTACCAAGAATTCAGGGTTCTATTTGATCCCATAGTTTTTTCTTGGTAAAATTACCATTTTAGGGATTGGTAATTTTACCGAGAAATCTCGGTAAAATTATTGACTTTCTCGGTAATTTTACTGGACCCCGGTAAAAACGCCAATATTTTTTATCGACTGTGGTAGAATTACTGAGATAAAATGGCAAAGTTACTGGGAATTGATTACCAATAAAAAAGGTATTCTTACCTGAAAAAAACAGTGAAAATACCGGTTTTTAGGTAAGCTTACCGGTCAGTCTTGGTAAAATTACCAATAATTGGTAAAAAAGTGAGATGGTAAAGGTACCAACGGACCTTGGTAAAAACGCCGAGAATTTTTTTTCAGTGTTGTTGGCTATTTTCGGCCATTCCTGGCTGCATGTGTCTATATGTTGTGTTTAATTCGTATACTTCCGGGTTTGTTTCCAGTGGCCCGTCGTCGTCGGAAGGAGGGTCGACCGCGGCGTCAGCGGACGACGTTCAGCAGCGAGCAGACGCTGCGCCTGGAGCTGGAGTTCCACCGCAACGAGTACATCTCCCGGAACCGACGCTGCGAGCTCGCCGAAGCCCTCGCCCTCACCGAGACGCAAATCAAGATCTGGTTCCAGAACAGGCGCGCCAAGGACAAGCGAATCGAGAAAGCTCAACTCGATCAGCAACACAGGTAAACAAATCATTTCATCAGGATTTTCCCAGGAGAAAACGCTATTTTCCTGCGGAAATACACTGTTTTCCCGGGAAAATACACTGATTTCCCACGGTAATACACTGTTTTCCCGGGAAAATACACTGATTTCCCACGGGAATACACTGTTTTCCCGAGGAGATACACTGCAATGGAAAAAAAACACATTGGATCTAGAGTCCAGACTCTTGAAAACATTGACAAGAAAAAATACTCTTGATTCAATCGGATATTTGCTTGAATCAAAACGAAATCCGCTTAAATCAAGAGGCTTGGTTCTTGATTTAAGCTAGAATCTGATTGAATCAATAGTGCTTTTTCTTGTCGATGTTTTTAAGAGTCTGGACTCTACATCCAATGTGTTTTTTTTCCAGTGTGTTTTCCCGGGAAATACACTGTTTTCCCACGGAAATATACACTGTTTTCCCGGGGAAATACACTATTTTCCCGGGGAAATACACTATTTTCCCGAGATAATACACTTGATATCCCACGGAGATGCTCTATTGTATTCTACCTGACATCAGGCCTGAGCCAAAGTCCATGTAGTGAGCATCAAACATGAGTCGTAAATTACGAACATGCATGCCGTTCAAACATACAAGGGGGTATGCTACGCGGCCCAACCTCCAGAGAGCACTTCGCGCCCTCCAATAGTGCCGCGTTTAGCAGAAAGGAACCAAGGCACATCAGCTATTGCTGCATTTAACCGGGCGATTTAATTTTTTACACGAGAACGTCTGTGCAGATTCCTTTGAAAATGGTAAAAAAATTTGCTTCGTGCCGTGCAGAAAATTCACCGAAATTTGCAAAAAATTTGCACAACCATTTGCATGTAAAAAATTAAATCGCCGTACCGAATTTGGCAATAGCTAATGTGGCTTTAGTTCCTTTTTTGCTTAACGCAATCCACTTGTGACTTGATCTGAATAGAGCGGGATTTTCCAAGAATATCTCTCATACTGTAGCAATATGAGTGATAACCCGAGGAAAGTTCAGGTAAAAATTTAAAAATTGTTGAATTAACATTGATACCCGACAAAGTAATATGAAACCTCAGCGCATCTCGATTTCCACATGAGCCCCAGGAAGTATGGATTCATACGTAAAACAGGGCTCACGTGGATTGTGTCCTTCTTGCCAGAGGAGCTACGCTGCCGTGCTAAGGAAGAACGCCGTATGAGCATTCGAGAGTTGTCAAGTTTCCTCCGATCAACTGTTTATTTTTGAAGAAAAAGGAGATGTTGCATGTGTGAGGAGTTTGCGATTTGACTGTTAACTCTTATGTAAAAGTTCGCGAGAAACACGATGGTGCCACTGGTTTTCTCTGGAATCAACTCCCAAGCTCGAAAAAAGCTCTCAACTTGAGGCCAAAATGGAGGGGATATCCCACCCTATCCTGAAAGTCCACCCCTACATCAAGACAAACTCTCCATGCAAAGATAGGGAGCAAATACATTGGCAGGGCTGCCACTTTATTTTGGGACTCTAAAACTGAAAACACGGCATCACTTCCAATGTATTTGCTCCCTATCTTGGCATGGAGAGTTTTTCTTGATGTAGAGGTATAGCGTGGGATATCCCCTCCATTTTGCCTCAACTTGAGAGCTGTTTTTGAGCTTGGAAGATGATTTCAGAGAAAACCAGTGGCACCATCGTGTTTCTCGCGAACTTTTACCTAAGAATCAATTAGTCAAATCGCAAATTCCTCACACATGCAACATCTCCATTATGAACATTTTACCTTGAAATTTTCAGACTTTTAGACCAAATTACGAACGGAATCCCCTGAAAAATCGAACGAAAAATGTTCATAAATATCCTCATAAATTCATGATTAATCAAAGGAAATTTGGCAACGCTTAAAGGCTCATACGGCGTTTTTACTTACAGCACGGCAGTACGAATTAGGGGATGAGAGTCGAGGAGGGGCGCGTGTTCCTCGGCCGGGGGATGCTACTCGTATAGGATACCACGATCGCAGCCGCGATGTCAGTTGATGAACATCCCTGATTAACAGATCGGATCACGCGAGGGCCCAGGGAACCGCACCAAATGCCATCGTTTTGTTCTTTGTTCGAGCCGTCCTAATAGCTCAATTCATTTGCGACGCTCGACGTCCTCCTAATTATATACGTTTATATTTTTTTTCATTTATCTCCACTGATTAACTTGAGCGGCAGAGTTACATGAGGGCCATTTTTAAAAAATCACTAAGGGGCTCCGCCCCTGGCCATTCCGAGGCCCAATCCTCTAGGCGCTGCGCGCCTCCCAAGGCCGCTCGTTCCTCTTCTTCCTCACTGGAAAAAAAAAAAAAACACATTGGATCTAGAGTCCAGACTCTTGAAAACATTGACAAGAAAAAGGACTCTTGATTCAATCAGATCTAAGCTTAAATCAAAAGGAAATCCGCTCAAATTAAGAGGCTTGGTTCTTGATTTAAACTTAAATCTGATTGAATCAAGAGTATTTTTTCTTGTCGATGTTTTTACGAGTCTGGACTCTAGATCCAAGCTGTTTTTTTTCCAGTGCTCCCCTTCATCACCCCGTCCATCCAAATAATTATTTTAGTAGAATTTTTCCACTTCCAGACTTGGAACTCCAGCCCATCGACCGTCTTACACCCCTTGCTCACCCCGTCCATCGGGCGCCTTAAAATGATTTTATTAGAATTTTTGAAAAATCATATCGCACTGGAAAAAAAAAACACATTGGATCTAGAGTCTAGACTCTTAAAAACATTGACAAGAAAAATACTCTTGATTCAATCGGGTTTTTGCTTGAATCAAAACGAAATCCGCTTAATTTAAGAGGCTTGGTTCTTGATTTAAGCTGGATTCTGATTGAATCGAGAGTACTTTTTCTTGTCGATGTTTACAAGAGTTTGGACTCTAGATCCAATGTGTTTTTTCCAGTGCGATGGCTGAAGTACGAGACTACGTATTTTCGTTTGAGACGTTGAAGACTTCAAGTCATACTTTTATTTGGACCGCGTTCAGCAGAAAGGAACCAAGCCACATCAGCCATTGCCAAATTTAAGTGGGAAATTTAATTTTTTATAAGGGAACATTTCTGCGGATTCCTATGAACATTTAAAGAAATTGGCCTCGTACTAGCGATGGATGACAGGGAGGGGGCAATCAAGCCAAGGATGACGTAAGCTTTCGTGTAGGCAAAAAGGCTGAAAAATCTTGCTTGAAATTTGAGGGGGAGATATATATTTAACACTTGAAACTCGATAAAAACCATCAAATGAACGTGCCGGAGGGGGAGGGGTGATTGGACGCATTTAATTGTGTTGAACACATTCTTTGGGGAAGTCCTGTCAACACTACTAGCAAAAGTTCACGGAACTTTGCGTGAAAGTTAAGTTTCGTAAACCTATCTCTGGGTGTATGTACAAGGCCTTCCATGAATAAGAAATGAACGAAACAATTATGAAAGAACAAACATAATGTGGATCAATGATTATACTTCAGCCGCACCATGTTTGGCGCAATGCGCGAAGTATTCCGACAGTCTTGTAGGCGCTATGCGTTTCACGCCGACCGCTGCTGAACGCACTGTGTTGGACGCAACGCGTGAAGTATTCACGCAGTCTTGTAGGCGCTATGCGTTTCACGCCGACCGCAGTGACCACACTGTGTTTGGTGTAATGCGTGAAGTATTCGTGCAGTCTTGTAGGCGCTAATATGTGATACATGCCGATCGCCGCGCCGAGGGCTTCTCCTTTTCATCTCAAGTCCTCGTTATCATTTCTCTCTAAGTCGCGCCGTTCCAGGCCAAATTGCGTGTTCGGTCTCTCTCTTAACTCGACTTATTGAAGGTGCTGTCTCTTATATCACCAAGAGACGACAAAATTAGAAATTACTATACTCTCAGGAAATGAGAGATTTTGTCGCCTTTTCTCGGTTGTAATTATGTTTAATAAATCCGATTTTTTTTTATCCCGACACTTATCGGGCATCCCAATCGCTGTGTTGCCAGGTTTGCTGGAAATTAGCATTATTCCGATGAGACTCAACGTGATTAATTCTGCTTTAACGGCACAGCGGGTCGATTATTGAAACTTATAGACAAAGCTATAGACAAAGACGACAAAAGGGATTTGGAGGGATCCTATTGGTGGAAGCAGGTGGTGGCAATGGACATAGGAGGTAGGTAATGGGCTAACTAACGGCAACCCGCTAAAGACCCGACAGTTAGTTCATCATTTTCTTCCTTAGTCTATAAGAACCAACCATGTAAACCAATAGGATTGCTCCATACTCCCTATGTCTTCTTTGTCTATCGCTTTGTCCATCAGTTTCAATAATCGGCCCGCAGTTCGGCAACGGCGACAAAGCGTGGACCCCGCGACGACGACGGTCTGATTTTTATTTGCCGTGGCTAATAGAGAGGACAAACCGCTAATCTGGGCCGGCGATCGACTCGCGGGGTCGCGAGGAAGGGGCTGGAAAAAAGGGCAGGGGCGAGGATTAAGTTGTTTATGATTAAGCTCATGATCGCGTCCGCGCCTCCATCACCAGAGCGCATCTTTTTTAAACCTCCTCATAAGTGTCGCACAGTCACCACGAGCCACTTTCAAAAGAACCCCGCGACATCCCCTGTTGCCGCGCTCGCCCGCTAATATCAATGGAGATGTTGCATGTGTGAGGAATTTGCGATTTGACTGTTGATTCTCATGTAAAAGTTTGCGAGAGACACGGTGGTCCCACTGGTTTTCTCTGAAATCGACTCCCAAGCTCAAAAAAAGCTCTAAAGTTGAGGCCAAAATGGAGGGGATATCCCCCGTTATCCTCAGAGTCCACCTCTACATCAAATCAAACTCGGCGCAAAACGCGCACTGGCGCCTACAAACCCAAGGGGCTACTTCACGCATTGCGCAATGCTTGAAGTATCCCCTTAGGTTTGTAGGCGTCGGGGCGCGTTTTGAGCTGGCAGCACACCGCGCCGTGCCGCAGCGTGCCATAACCTTG